CAAAAAGAGAGAACACCATGGCGGTGTTGTGATAGAATTTGATCACTTCTTGGCAGCCAGGGTGCAAAGAGAGCAACCATAGAACAAGACAGCACCCAAGATGTATTTCCCAGTGACCTACTTCCTCCAACTAGGCCCCATCCCCCAATGTTCCTAAAACACCACAGAATAATGCCAGAGGACCAAGCCTTCAACACATGAGCCTAAAGAAGAACATCTCAAACTCAGACCAAAACAGAAGGCTGTTCCATTCACATCCTCTGCCTCGTAGCTGTCCCAGACTCTGACCTCCACATATGAGCTGGAACAAAAGAGGCAGCTCAGCCGGTAATACTGTGTTCTTCCCTCCTTCACATACTACTGTCTAGGTGGGATGGGGGTAAGGACAGGCGCTGCTCAACCTCAGAGTTCTAACTTTTGTGTGACCTTAGCCAAGCTACTTTGTCTCTGACTAAACAAGCAGATATCTGGGGCAAACGGTAATGTGACAATCTATGGATCCATCTATTCTCTCCAAGGCAGTGACAAAACATGGACTATTTGCTAGGAGATCCTATACGGTTTAGTTCCTATCTAAGTGGAAATAGGCAAACTTTATCATCCCACCTTATGAACAGAGGAGACTGCCGTGTACAGAAGAGGGCAATGGTAACTTACCGTGAACATTCAGAACATTTGGGTGACGAGCACAGCCTTCTCTTCATGGAAATTCATTGTCTCCTTATTTACTAAACGCTCTTCAGAATGTTTCCTCTCTCCCAGAATGTGCACGATATGCCCAAAGTCACATGGAAAATCTGAATGCTAAAGTGTTCATATGTCAGGTGTCTGTCCCTGTCCACGTGAGGCTGTGTGACACACATTCCTACTGTCAAATCCACAGTCAGCTGCACTCCATCAGCACTGAAATGGGCTTTCATCATTTGCTTTGTGCAAGGCTATCTTCTGATTTATTAAATGATTCTATGATCAGCTTTGAATAACCATTTGGGAGTTATAGGCATAATAACAAAGTCTTAATAATTTCCCCATCTAATCTAAATAGTCATAGCAATGATTTGTTGATTGTATATTCTATATGTTCACCTTTATGTAGATGCACACATTTATTTTATTACATAAAATGAGGAGTTAAAGATCATATATTTGGAAATAAATATCGCTTTTCCTGACACAAAGAAAATGTTCCCCCCAAACAGGGCTTTTTCTAACTGGGAAGAGGGCTGTTATGGTACACCCAGACTGCTGAAACAGAATGCTATAGCCCAGGATTCTAATACATAATGTAGATTTACTCCCCAGAGCTCTGAGTGCATAAAGGCCAGAATCAAAGGGTCACAGACGTAAAGGGCTCTTTCTGGCTCCTAAGTGGCTCCTTCTGGCTGTGCCTTCACATAGCAAAAGGAATGAGGCTGTTCTCTATGGGCTCTCTTATAATGATACTAATTTATAGCCCTCATTAATCAAGACATAGCACCCCCTTAATTGCCCTACATCCTATAACCATCACCCTGGCCTTAAGTTTCAACATAAGGATTTAGATAAGACCATCAATAACACCATGGATGGGACACATGAACGGTTGTTATATAGCACATTCAGATAAAAATAAAGCCTAACTGAAGTGCCAAGCTCCATAAGGAGGACATATCATATTTTAGTAGACTCCAGGCACGAAAGTCGAAGAAAGTTACTTAATCAAAGCATATAATAGTTAGAATCAGTAGCTCTAAAATAACTATCTTTAGCACATGATGGGGCAGTCATGTTGGAGATATTTTATGGGTGTAGTTTCTGATACTACCATGAGACAGTATTTGTGAATGTATATGTATATACATTTACAAAATGCAATTACAATTAGTGAAAAATGAGCCAGGAGTTTTGGAGAACAAGGAATGGTATCTGGGAGGGTTTGGAGGAAAGAAATAGAAGGGAGAATGTTGTGTGGAGGCTGCTAGTATGTTCCCAGCTGCCCTCTGCTTGTTCATTTCCTGGCCACCCAGACTCCTGAAATAATCACACAGAATCTATATTATTTAAATCACTGTTTGGCCAACCACAAGCTCTTACATCTAGAATTAACCCATCTCCCTTATTTTATATTTTACCACAAGGCTCATTGCTTACTGGCAAGGTTTCAGCATGTCTGTCTCTGGTGGCAGGTCCATGGCTTCTCCCTGACTCCTCCTGCTTCCTCCCAGCATTCAGTTCAGTTTTCTTTGCCTACCTCTATTCCCTGTGCAGGCCCAAGACAGTTTCTTTATTCACCAATTATATTCACAGCATACATAGGGGAATCCCACATCAGGTGAAATCTTATAATTAAAATACAATCTCAAAAATAAAAATTTTAAATGTGTCATATTTTAAAAACTGTTTTAAAAGAACATGTAACACAAAAAATAATACATTAATTATATGATCTGTACTTTTATTTGGTATTTGGAAATGAATCTAAGAATTCCATTACATGATAAAAAAATCTTTACAAATTATATTCTCCTGTATTTTATAACAATTTTATACATTTTTACATATTGAATCCATTTGTAATTTAATCTGTGTGATTTGGGTGGTAGAAAAGGAATTCAGATTTTTAAGTGGAAAGGTACAGTTGTCCTCACATCACTTATTGCTCAGGGTGGTGATTCATATCCACAATCCTAGGTATCAGGGGAGCTGAGGCCGTAGATTGTAACTTTGAGATCAGCGACATAGCACGACCCTTCTATTAATGGAAACAGAGGCGGGTGAGAAAGGGGATGGGAAGGAAAAGAAAGAAAAGAGAAGAGAAGGGAGAAAACAAGCATCTTCTCCCGCTGACTCCCAGTGACCCTTTGTCTGGTTTCAAATGCTCACATACGTGTAGGCTTATCTCTGGGTTGTATTCTATTTCATAATTTACTCATTGTTTCCAATGCCAACAACATACTGTTTTTAAATTCTTTGATTTGGTAACTGATTCTATGACAGTTGTGTGTGGTTGTGACTATTTGAGTCCAAGAATCAGTCCGTCAAAGGCACAGAAACACTCTTGGGATTTTACTGAAATTTCAACTGACTGTAAACTCACTTAGTAAACAACGGCTTATTTTTGAATTGTGCTTTCTGATTGGTTAGCTAAGGGCATGGATCATCAGCAACCTTCCCTGCCCTTCAGCCAAGTTTATACTTTCCCATTATGATCTTTACTAACTCTTCATGGAGTTGGCAAGAAGATTCCTGAAAATAGATTAAGCCTTGCTCTGTTACAAAAATCCTTCTCTAAGGTTTTCATGCAAATTTTTGCTCCAAAACCGTTCTTTAGCTCAGCCCGGCTAGAAACCAATACTTAGGCGCTGCTTGTCTTCGCCTTTTAAGCTGGGAAACTTGCTCTGTGTAGTCAGCACTCTACAAGAGAAAATGAAAGCTTCTCAGGGCACACAGTAGAAACAAATCCGGTGCTGCCCATCACTGTGGATGCCAGTGTTTCCTGCGTGCCCATAAAAGATCCCCTCCCAAAACATACACCTGGGCCTTTGGTGAGCATAGAGGACGCATACAAACAACATTTCTTGGGGCTTTCTTTTAATGTCAGCAAAGTTTAAGATTATGAGGGGAATTCTTCAGTGCTATAAAAGCAGAGATTATCCCCAATTGCTAGTTTGTGGTTGCAGTAACAATTGTTAGTAAAAAGCATCTCCTCTGGAATGAGTCTCCCAGCTCCCTCTTTCTCCTGTCAACAGTCAAGTCTCAGGAAAGAATTAATTCCTCACTGATGCTTCCTCCCTCTCCTTCCTGTTATTCTTCCCCAGAGACCGTGTTTCTCTCCTATTTGCCATGGAAAAGATGTTACTTTACTGCCTTCCGTCCATTCCTATTATCTGGATATACTGCTAGGTTATTCTAAAGGATATGCATTCACTGAGAGGGCTAAACAGTGACGCGCATCCCAGTGTCAAAACCCTTGAATGTTGTCTTAGTTGAGGTTTTCACTGCTATGATAAAAATACCATGACCAAAAGCAACTTGGTGAGGAAAGAGTTTATTTCAGGTTAAAACCCCCAGATCATGCTCCATCACTGAGGAAAGTGAGGGCAGGAATTCAAAGAGGTACATGAAGGCAGGAACTGAAGCAAAGATCACAGAGGAATTCTGACTTGCTCCTCCTGGCTTGCTCCTCGACCTAGTTTCTTCTTCATTTCTATTATTTTGTTTTACATATATGGGTATTTTATTTTGCACATATGGGTATTTCTGTGCACCATGTGCATGCTTGGTGCCTGCAGAGGCCAGAGATGTTGTCAGATCCCAGAACTGGAGTTACAGACGGAACTGCCATGTGGGTCCTGGGAGTTGAAACGGGACCTTCTGAAAAAGCAGCCAGAGTTTTTAACTGTTGACCCGTCTCTCCAGCTCCAGAAGCCTACTTCATTGTATACCCAGGACTATCTGCCCAGGAGTGTACTGTGCCATTCCACGTCAATTGTTAGTCAAGAAAATTTCCTACAAACTAGTCTATAGGACAATCCCACAGAGGCACTTTCTCATGAAGAATCCTTTTTCCCGGAGATGTCTAGGCTGTGTCAAGTTGACAAAAACCAACCAACACAGATGACTATAGTTAAGGAATAAGTGTAGAGGTGGTTACAGTGCACATTTGTGCACATGCAGTGGGCCATTTTCTATAGAACAAAGTGGCCAGCTATCTTTAAACACAGTTCCTCACTCATGGTCTGTGTTACAACTTACATATATTGCAAATCCTGAAAGCCCTGCTTGATAACCACTATCCATACAGTAATGTAAGATGGTCCCCACTTGGAGACTATTGACATATCTCCCTCTTAATGAATGGTAAGCCCATTCCTCTGATCCTCATTATGTATGCTTGCCCTAAAGTTAAGAACCTACTTCAGGGATAGTAAAACTGTCACTGCTCAGAAGTGGTTTCATTGATTTGATTTCTCTCTGGAGGACAAATGTGTTGTTAACCATCCCCTTGTCTCAAATTGCAGATCACAGTATTTCGAATGGGATCAGAAGGCCACCAGGACATTGATTTAGCTATCCTGACAGCATTACTCAAAGGTAAGAGTTCCTCTATCCACATAACACAAAAAGTAATTTAAATGGATTAACATAGACACCTTAAGCCTCCTACTAATGGACTTAACCCCAAATGATTTATGTCACATCTAATTACTGACAGCCCATTGACCCATTGTGTAAGACAGTGCTATCACTATTGAAGCCTTTTAATGCTGACATACGTTGCGTGTGACTTGATTTTGTAAGTTTTGAATAGAATGTTACTCATGTCCATTTAAATTTAAATAAAATTTAATCATAAAAATTTAAATGAAAAATGTTAACTGACTATGTAAAATGCTAAGTTATCTAAAGTTATTTAATAATTATTATTACTTTATTTTCAAAGCTATCAAAATGGAAATGGGCATAGATGTATATATTAAAATTAAAAATCAAATATCATTCAGAAGATAGAGAAATGAAAACGTAGACAATACTCCTTGTTATAACTGAGCATTAGACAGAACTTTAACTTCCCTGTTGAACATAGTAAGCACAAGCATGCTTGGATTGTTGGATTTTAATTTATAGGGTGGATATTTGCCCTACTCTCTAGACTCAGTCCTTCAAAGATATCTCACTACCTGCCCTTACCCTTGGAGCCGTAGCCAAGTGCAAGCCAGTTTCCTCCAGGTTCTATAAATGAAGTATACCTTAGGGAGCTAGCTACACTTGGGAAAACTTTTAATAAATTAGTATAAACAGAAGAAAGTTAGACCTGTTAAGATCTAAAATTCAGGCCGGAAGTATATGGAAGACAAACTATAAATGTTTCTAAGTGTGGTTGTCAGTCACAAACATCTGTGTTCTCACTTAGCGCTGTTAACACATCTGCAGCGGCCCTTATCACCCGCTCGCCGTTGCGTGCCCACGACCTCCATAGACTATAAACTCAATGAGAGCAGAAAAGCTGTCCTATTCACCTTCTCATCATGGAACTTAATCCCCAATTCATGCCGCCTTCAGTTTCTGTTGGATAAAGAAGTGAATGGATTACTCAGTGATCCAGTGATAGAATCGGCGTTCTATATTTCAGAGTTTAAAGAACAGTTACTTCATGCGTTGTTTCTAGAATATTACTCTTCTTTCAACTACCACTATTTTCTTGAAAACTTATTATGTGGCAATAGCTGTGCCAAGCTCCTTACAACTATGGTAAACATTAATCACAGCAACAGCTATGTGATGCAGGAACTAATCGAATCTCCCTTTGCTACACAAGGTGAAGTAACCTCCTTCGTACTGGAAACTCATGATCACGCCTGAACTTAGGACCAACATATCTGACTTCTCCCTGGACCTCATGAGACCCTTAGAGAAATGTGATTGCCAGGCTTCCCTGCTCATTCCCTGAGTGTCTATATGTGTTCACTAGACTCCTGATCACATATCAGGAGATTTCCATCGCTCACAGTGCGTGGTGTATCCTAGGTTGGACATTTCTGTAAGATGTTTCATTTCAACTACAAATATAAATGCTGGGAATGAGAATTAAGGGCCTGAGGCAGGCATGAGTAGGTTGAGCCACAAGATACACTCTGGGCTTTATGCTGCCTCTATTGGAAGCAAAGGTGAAACTTCTTTGCAAGAAAAGTCTCATGTTTTCTATTCTCATATAAAGATAATGAAGAAAGTAATAATATCAAAAAGCAATGTTTGTTGAAGACTCACTGTGTGCCCAACACTGTAAAGAACATTTATTGCATTCCTTCATTGATTCTAGGAATAGCCTACCGGTTCATCATGAGCCTCACTTATACATAAGGAACCTGAGGTACAGAGCCGGTGAGAGTGTGCTCACAAAGAGCTGGCTAGTCAATGGTTCAGTCCAAAACTGAGAGTTTATACATACAGCCAAGATATTCCCCGCTCCATTGACATCAACAAATGCCATGAACAAATTTTATAGCAAATAGGGAGGGGAATCTAAGTCTCAGAAAGAAAACACAGTGACTGTGACTGTTCAATGAAAACACTTGTCTTCAACAATCTGTGAAACTAGAAATTAGGCGTCATATTCAAGTCAACCCTACAATGTATTTGTCATATTGTAGAATACTTACTTGTTTTCTAGCTTTTTAGTGTGATAATTTACAAAATGAAGTACAGTTTGTGTCATAGTCAAAGAGTTATACATATTGCTCTTTAAAATTTGAAATGTATCTCAGATAAACTTACGTGGACAATATGCAATGAAATTGAATATTTTCTCTTTTAATCTACTTTCCCAGATGCTGATTGTACCTCCTAAATTGATTTCATGGGTCATAAACCTACAGCTTAAAAAAAATACTGCAATAGGAGATGAAAGAAAATTTTGATTGCTCTAAGAAATTAATGTTTCTAATCACTATAATGAACACTGTTTATGCAGCTGTTATGCTGAGGGAATTTGTGTCATTAAATGATTATAGTGTGTCAACTCTATTTTGCAAGGACTCCTGAATGCCCCCCGACACTGACCTACTTGATTTGGAAAGGGAATCGGGCACAGTTTTGGATGACTTCTTTGATGATCAAGCATATATACGTAATTACATCCATTTTAGATTCTTAAGTTTATTATATTCCTTGTGTTTAGCCAAGACAAGTAACAGGCTTAATACTTAATTTTCACAATTATATTTGATTTTCAATTATGTAATGCACAGGGGTTATTTGTAGAGTCCAATTTTTATTCTAAGACGTTTCTGAGAAAACCAGTAGTTAGACTGGAGGAGACCCAGGAAGCAAACCGTTGCTTCATAAGGCCACTGGGAAAAAAGGCAAGGCAGATGGGAAACCAGGTGGCCATGGGGAAAATAAGTCTTCGCTTCCCTTGTTTTTGAGCTGTTTGATTTTCTCATATTTGAATTTATATTAGTGAATTTTCAGTCTTCTGATGCGTGCTTTTAAGCATTGCAATGGTAAGCAATAAAGTAAATGATAAAGGTGAATTTCCCCACACCTTAGACAGATGTCTTTCCTATGGAGCATTTTCAAATGAATGCAGTGAAGAAAGAAAGGGTACAAAGGAATGATGCTCCAGAGAGCCAGGAAATCCGGGGTGGCTTCAGATAGTAATGTGGGTACTTTTGACAAGACGTGACATCGCATTGCCCTTTACATGGAAAGTGAGGGTCCCTGCCACGGGCTGTGTGCCCTCCCCTCACCCACTCTTCCCTCCCCACCACTCACATGTGGAGAAAACATATATGCAGCAGATCCAGCTGCGTCGCAACGCTTCAGGTGCCAAATAAGCCGTTTTAATAAAAGAGCAAAGACTCAGCATGTATTCACCTAATATAAAAAGTATCTTAAGTATAAACTGAAACTTGCTTTATTTAACTGTAATCAGTGAACTATCTATACAATTAGAAATTATCTAAGTACCAGAAACACAATTTAATCCAGCTAAAGTGGAAATAAATGGATGGATTTGTAGATTCGCCTGGCCAGGCACTCTAAGGACAGGCACAGTTCAGACAAAATGAGAGCTAGGACTCAACTGACGTCATCAAAGTAGCCCTCTAGCCAGGAGCCGTTAGCCTGTACCTGGGTCACCAAAGAAACCTCATCAGTCACAGGCTAACACCCAAGCAGCTCAGAAAATGCTGGTCAGAAAGATCCATCTTTCCTGGTAACCACAGTGGAGAGGTTCCAAGAAGAATGGGGACTTGCTTAATTCTGTACGTGTCCATCTCTTGAATCAGTCACTGTCACAGAAATTCTGGACCTGTAAAATGGGACATGAGGCAGCTTATCCACGGCCAGAGTTATTACCTTTATCTGAGGAGAAGGGTGGGGGACACATAGGAAGGTCAGAAGCCAGATCTCTCCCACCATGTAGGTCCCAGAGCTTGAGTTCAGGTCAGCAGGCTTGGCAGCAAGCGCCTCTCCCTGCTGAGCCATCTTGCCAACCCCCAAGTCTGAGCAACCCATGGAACAGAAGTTCTGTAGACAGAAAGGGGAAAAGAAAGGAAGTCCGAAAAGAGTTTGAGAGACTGCAAATCTCCACACATTGTTTTAAAAGAAGCACTGAGGGTCAAAAGGTATCAAACGTCATCAAATGCAAATATCGAAAGTCCACATCCTAGAATAAATGCACTATGATTGCATTCTTCCTTCAGTGCCAGTGCGTGGTGTGCTCCAAAATACAATGTTTCCTTTATCAGACACAACCAGGAACGAGGTCAAATGAATACTAGCCAGGCAGGGTTCAAGGATTCAACATCTTCGCAAAGCTCATAGCTGATATGCCTAACTGTGCCACTGATTACTTATCTACTATTATCATTACTACAGCCTTCAGTTTTAATAGTCTCTACTTGATCATTTCTAATAGTTTTGAAGAAAATGATGTGCTTACCTTCTTTCCCCCCCAAAGACCAAAGTTTATTACTTTGGGGGGGGGGAACGATCCTATATAGGTTTTACTTACTCCTCCCACTTCTATCCCCACTACCATCCCCTTTTTTTTTTAAAGATTTATTTATTTATTATGTATACAACATTCTGCCTCCATGTATGCCCACACGTCAGAGGAGGGCGCCAGATCTCAGTACAGATGGTTGTGAGCCACCATGTGGTTGCTGGGAATTGAACTCAGGACCTCTGGAAGAGCAGCCAGTGCTCTTAACCTCTGAGCCACCTCTCCAGCCCATACCATCCCCTCTATATGACACTACAGGGAAGCCATAGTCAAAGGGTGTGACACCTTCGAGCAGCAAGACTTATGACCACATTCAAACACCGCTTCTTCTTGACTAGAAAATTGTTTGACTTCACTGAACATCAGTTTCCTCCTCTGTGAGTCTGAGATAATAATGGGCAATTCTTTCGCTGTCGTGGTGAGCATCTTAACTGATAATGACACTAAAGCCCTTAGTGTAGTACCAGGAGAGATCCCTCTAAAACACAGTGGTCTGGCTGAAGATGAAGATGATGATGGCAAACTAGACATAAAGGGCCGTATCTGTTCACATATGCCTGTACAGGGGGACGCAATTCCCACCACA